TTCTTAAGTTCAGATGAAGTATCCAATCAAAGTGATACCCAAATTAATTAGTCGTCTATAAAAATGTCTTCTTTTCTAACCTACTTACTCACACATTCACGGTGCGCTATACCTGATCGATTTCCCCCACAATTTCCATAAAATGTACCTACTGCTTATACTTTGGCCGCTAAAATCTTTTATCATTTCGTTGGATTACAAAAAAAATGTTTCACTTAACCTCACGTTTTTTAAGGCGGTTTTAAATTAAAGCTCTGCTTTCCTTTTTATCAGAATTTCCATCAGAATATTGCTGTTTACTTTTGCATAGAGTTTAATATAAACAAGTATATAGAGGATTTTTAATTAAAAGTATGCGAAGGAAAGATACACAGCCGTATTAGGTACCCTTAACGTAGGTATCTCTTTATTAATTTTTTATTGTGAGGGTGTTTCATCTCTTCCACGCAACCCCAATAATTAATACAATGGCTAATTACTTCAATATACTTTAACAGATTATTTTGAGTTGCCGCTATTCCAATTTGGATCACGCAATACATGCACATATTATGCTGTATGATGATACGATAGCTTTTATCGGGTGTTTCAAGATTGAGGCCGTAGTTTTGAACGTGATTATCTGAAGAAATATTCTTTTTCTCCAACCACCTGAATAAGACGCTATTTTGTTACACTTGTTGGTACAAAAATGGGCAATTTCGGGAGTCGTCGGTATTACCATGGTAACTGTCCAAAAAGTAGGTACTTTTCGGTCCCCTAGTCCCCCACATAATAACTCTTGCGCCATTATCGTTTTTTAAAAATCCTAAAAAACATTTGGGAGGGGTCAAGTGAACGTACCCCCCCCCCCCAGTGCGTATTTTGTCGCTTGTAACTAGGTCACGGTACATTTGGTTATGCGCTCAACTGCGCCACTTGAAAGCTAGCGCCATTACGGTTAAGCCGTCACAAATTTTCAAAAAGTGGGGGGGGGCATAAATATATTTGGGAGGGGCCAAGTGAACGGAACTCCCCATAATCTAGCCTATATTTTATATTCAAAGCCATAACCCATTTTGCTACCGGTATTTGTGCCACTAGAAACATCTGGTTATGCGTTCAATTGCGCCATTACGGTTAAGCCATACACATTTTTATAAAAAGTGGAGAGGGTCTAACTTAGCGTTTTCAAAAGTTACGTTTTTTAACATGTTTTTTCTACTACATCGTACCTTTCATCATGCGCTAAAATGGGCCGTAAACATAAATCTTTGCGCTATTATAGTTTTTGGGAAACCTTTTTAGGATCTATAGAACTATATGTATATGGGTATGCGGTGAAGTTATGTTCTAATTGTGCAATTTTAACTCGGGTTGCAATAATTGCCAATAACTCATAGGTATTAACTTACTTGGTTTGGAGTTAATGCATTATGCATTGTTCATGTGTTAACGATCCTCGAGGTAGTTTATAATTTTGTACTGCTGTTTGTCTGTCCGTCTGCCTGTGCACGATAACTTTGTTTAGAAACTTCCGGTCGCTTTGAAAATGGGTACACATGTTCTTAAGGATATAAGAAAGGTCGCTATTGTTTTTCAGTTACGTAGACTAACGGGCCAAAAAAACGTTAAGTTGGCCCCCCCACTTTTTGAAAATTTGCCACGGCTTAACCGAAATGGCGCTAGCTTTAATTCAAGTGGCGCAATTGAGCGCATAACCAAATGCCGTTGTATCAAACAACCGTGTCCAAAATGGCAACATAAAGAAATTCAATTTTTCAACCCTTACGAGAGCACAGCTTATGTGAAAGCAGAGTTGGACTGGGTCAAGCATAGAGTGACCCAGTGACCCGGTGACCCAGTTAGTTTACTGACCCAGTGACCCGGTGACTCAGTGACCCGGTGACCCAGTTGACCCGGTGACCCAGCTTGACCCGTGTGACCCAGCTTGACCCAGTTTGACCCTGTCACCCAGGTTGACCCGGTGACCCAGTTGACCCGTGACCCAGCTTGACCCGGTGACCCAGCTTGACCCAGTGACCCATCTTGGACCCAGCTTTACTCAGTGACCCGTCTTGACCCGGTGCCCAGTAATTAAATTATTGTTAGGTATCATCCAAAACAAATTTCAAGTAACTTTTAATTTAAAAAAAAACTTCCTCAATAATATTCGGCAACAAGCACGTAGCCCAATTTCATTCAAGAGAACTAATACCTAAAAAAAATCAAATGCATTTGTTTATAGTTTGTAGTCAAGCAGTCAATGAAAGTATTTAGAAAAAGATTTATTTGGATTAAGCTAACTAGTAGAAAAAAATTAAATGTGAATGAACACCTGTAAGCAAACTGGTAAGCCCTGAAGCAAAGAAATAACATTATTCTAATACAATTCGGGACATGGAAAGCTTTTTACGGCAGTATTAAAGCAAACATCACAAAAATGGCAGTTGTCAAGCAATCGAGTATTATTTTCAACAAACCAGCATTTCATTTATTTCATAATCTGTACACTTGAACCGAGGGCACTGACTTAACTGCGTTATTCGATCAAACTAGGTGACTGGTCGAAATTGGGTCCCCGGGTGAAATTGGGTCGCTGGGTAACCTGGGTCACTGGGTCAAACTGGGTCACTGGTCAAACTGGGTCACTGGGTCAAGTTGGGTCACTGGGGTCAAACTGGTCACTGGGTCAAACTGGGTCACTGGGGTCAAAACTGGGTCACTGGGTCTAAACTGAAAAGAGTATGACGTGACCCAGCGACCCCAGTGACCCAGTTTAATTTAGTGACCCAGGTGACCCAGTTGACCCAGTGACCCAGTGACCCAGTCCAACTCTGTGTGAAAGTGATCGTGGCTATAGTTTATGGTCTACGTAGCCAAAAAACAGCGACAATGGGAGAAGAAAACCAACTACCAAAATCGTGGGAAATGGAAGCTGCAACAGCGGCTAATGGATTCGATGCAGTAGGGGAAATTGAAGAAGTAACAGTGGCTAATGGTGAAGAAGACAGGCAGTGTGAAAGTCAACAACTACACGCAGGCCAAATGGAAGGTCCACAGTCAAGATTCCATTCAAGGAGAATCCTGTAAAGTTTGGGTGCCCAGGATCACTAGCGATGGTCAGGTCGTTACCACTGGAAAGCCAGCTCAACACAAGAACTTATCCAGATCGATACGTAACCATAAGAAAACTACAACAGTTAGCAGAAGATGAAAAAGAAGACTATCCAAAGCCTACCCGAGTCACACTGCAGAACTACTACAGAGACGACATCTGCACAGATAGCTGGGAACATACCACAAGCTCTTACATTAAAACACATCAGTCGGGGGTCAAAATCAAAGCATTACACGTATCAGAAGGCAACACTGTACGCAGTATTACCAAGGCAGATGGGAAAACATCATAGAGGAAAATCCATCAAGTGATACCAAGCGAGGGAACAACGACAGAAGAATTAACAATCATCCTCAAAATATTAAGAATGAAAATAGAGATAATGTTTAACATCAAATTAAACAGAAGGGACGCCGGCCGAAAATTAGAAATTAATGTATGATTAGAAAATATGTACCTATTATTAATTGTAAAGTAGAACACCGATCGGTGTAGCAACGTGCACAGCAATAACTAGGTTAATTACCAATGTGCAAGTGCCAAATTGCATATCTAAATTGCGAAATGTTATAAACTGTTTAGAATTTAAAATAAGGTACTATTGACGTAAAAGTTGAGAGGTTCCACCCTGTATATACAACTTACGACGATACATAAATTTTTGAGAGTTGGCAATCACGCAATTTTTAGGAGGGCAAAGCGATTTGCGCCATCTGGAGAGCACGAACGGGGGTTACGTTTTGGTGAATGGCGGTCGTGAACGCGTCGCTCCACAAATGTTTGTTATTATTTTGTGTTTTTTTTAATGCAGGTTGTAATCTTTGCATTTCTTTATATCGTATTTGTGTTTTGTATGCCACATTTTGTATTTTTTGTGTGTTTGAATCTTTGTTTTTGAAAGTTACTTGGTTTAAGCGCAATGCAGAATTACATAATATGTGGTACCGTTACCTATGCTATTGTTTGTAATTGTTTACGTTTTTGGTGTAATGCTTGCTTAATTTATGTTTATTGATGTTGATTACTTGGTCTTGTCCCTGAAGTAACATTCATATAAGTTTTGATCATTTTATTTTAATTTATGGAAATTACCGATTCGTTTGATGTATGTACTGACTTGTTGTTTGTTACTAACATTTTTCTCCGTGAATGAAGCAGTCACGGGGGTGGAAAACACTGTAGTCAAAATTGAGCTACCACACCTAATTCCGTGATTGTCTTCGACTATAGGCTCAGTTTTCAACATGGAAGCTTGCGGGCAAATAAAGGTTTAAGCAGTCACTTTTTGATGATATGAAATGTCTGATATGTTATTAGGGGCAGGGATGTCTAAGATCGCTTGCACTTTTTAGTTATCCATCCGAAGTTCAGGCCTGTCTACGATTCAGCCTCGGTAATTTGATTACGACCTGCAAAAACTGCATTTAATTTTAGCGGCAGTTAGCCACCTGCCCGTAATCGGTCGAAAGCTGTAGCAAATAGTTTCAGTTGCTTTTCAAGACTGAGAGAAATAATGGGGTTAAGGTCTAGATAGAGCAAGACGCTGAAAACGTATATAAATTATTGTTCCCTCGTCTCCAAGAGCCACATTTATCAGTCGTTGAAAGGTAGCCGGTGCATTGGTTATCCCGAAGGGCATCTTGAAATGGCATACGTCTCTTTACGGTACGGTGAATACGGTGCACTTCCTTGCTGCTTTTCCACATGCGCTTGCCAATAGAATGATTGGATGTCGATTGAATTTTGCACCATCTAAATTTTGTAGCATGGCTGCAGTAGGTGCAATAGGATAGCATATTTTTTGGTCACCTTATTTAAATGCGCCTATTAATTTCTATCTAGGAGTGCCGTTTTCCGGCCACTTTGAGTATATATTGTTTATGACATCCGGTGATCCACATTTAAAACAATGCAAGCGAAGTGGCTGCTGCATTGTTTGCATGTTTTTGGGAAACAATAGCGATTTCCCATAATATGATTAGGGGTTTGTTGTAGGACCATGTAAGGTTGTTTCATAACTCGTGGATGATTTTTATTGGACGTAAATGTGGTGCAATACTAAAGCTTGTAGTTTGTAAAGGTAATAAATTTCTTCGAATAAACGAGTAACTTTGTTAGTTTTATGTGAAATTCTGTTGGGAAGATTCTCTATGAACGAAACATAAAGAATTACCGGTTGCAGAATTACAAAATGTGGGGGGTCACACCGGGTATGAGAAAGGACTTAAAGTATCCAGTTTAATTTATTAAAAATTGCAGGTACATACGCTACAATAAATGGAAATTCGATAATGGAGGATAGCCACTTGAGTATGAACACTTTAAACAGGAGATATTAACTTTTTCTTGGAATTTGGTTGGTATGATCTTGGAAATTAGATCTCCTGCTGTTTCCCCGTTAAAACATTGAGGTAAGGTTCAACTAGAAAGAATTCTCAAAGTCGCTATTGCCGATATAGGACTCAACTTAGACAGGTTTTGTGTTTTAAAGCAAGCGCATGTTTGTTTTTAATTTTTTTTTATTAAAAACAAAAGATAGAAACTGTTGGTTTCAACAGGATGGGGCACCCGCGACATCGCCCTAATTGTGCGAAAATACCTATAGTGCATATTTTCCAGGAAATTTAGATAAATTACTGTTAGTATCACATTTTTCTCGTTGCCGGCGTTTGTTGTGAGTCACCATGTATGTATTTACTCCCTTTTTGATAGTGCATGCCTCTTGTATATCATGCCAAAAACCACATAGAGAATTGAAAATGATCGTCCTCTAGAAGAATCTATCAAATATTCACAATCGAATTTGTGAAGGTTTTAAGGTAGTGGGTTTATTACATTTAAAATTCACATTAAGTATTGTACTGACATTTTGGCAGTAGTAAACGTGTGGAGATAAACCCCTGCAGGTTAAGTTAATTATATTCACGAGACGCAATAAATGTTGATATATCTTCCCACCACGTTAAAGAAAGCGTAACAGACGCAAATCGTTATTGCGAAGGGTAGAAACTCGGGGAAAAAACTACTTAAAATAACGCGGGGATAAATAATAAAGGCGTTTAATTTCGTCGTTTTACGACCTTTAATCCCGAAACATGCGCGTAAAAATTATACGGTTTTTAACAGCGGACATAAAAGCCATGGTGCGGAAAGTTCAGGCCCATTCTAAAGCCTGTATCCCATTTCCACACTATCAGCCATTGTTTTAGATTTAGCGTGTGAAACCTCTAAGAGTTGAGAGGTAGCAGTTCCAGGCAATTTCTCACTTTCAGAATAATTGAGCCCTTAATTTACGTGGCAACAAATCCTATTACTATTCGCATTCGGTATTCTATCCACACTTAATAGAATGTAATTTAGTACATTCGCATTAGTTCTTATACAAAACTCTAAAAACCGAAGAAGTGATCAGGAATGTGGGGCGGTTATAAATAAATTAGCACGCCGCGCCGGTGAAATTAACGTACTTACAATAATTAGAATAATAATTTTAACAAGCACAAATGCACAAATTCAGTTACTTTGTCAATTACGTGCACAAATAGTGACATAAGTATTTACAATCTAAGTTCCTCTGTTAAAATTTGAGGGGCATTTTATATTACTTTTTGGCAACCGGTTTTTTCCTCCTCTTTCAACCCTGCCAAGGTAAAAAAAACCTGTTGCCCAAGCGAAATCTCAACCGGAAGAGATATACTAAAAATGGTTGAACATTATGCTCTTTTTGCCTTTTTGCCAACTTTCAGAACTTGTACAAATGACTATTATTTCACAACTTTCTTTTTTAAAATCTTATATATAAAATTACAACATTCTCCCATCTGAGAAAAAGCTCTGACCCAAAACTTCAACTTCCTTTCATTAAAAATTGTGATAAGTATAAAAAATAGTGTGTTAATTCGGATTTTGTTTCCCCAAAAAGACATGGACAATCTTTTCTACCATTTTTTGGTTTTAAATTAAAATATGACACCGTCCATTCTAAAATGTAACTGCGCGGTGATCCATTGTCGATTAGAACCCTTGCGTTTCTCCGACCAGTATCACCACTTGCATTTAAACGCAAAATTAGAAGGAAAACAGGCGTACTTGTTTGTTTCATGATAGTGGTATCTCGACTTACTTCTCCAGGACACTCTTTGATGTCCATACTTTTGACTTAGGTCTCATACGACATTTCCTGGACTGATGACTAATTTTCAAACATTTGAAACAAACCAAAATGATTATCCTTTCGTCCAGTGTAATTTTTTGCGCTTGTGAACATTGTTAGCTATAATGTGTCCCTACACAAAAAATACATTTAGGAACATCAGTATTTATTAAATCTGGATCAGTCATCTTGAGTTTTGTGCTCCTTCCTGCATATGTCCTTTAGACTCTGCACAGAGAAAATTCATAATTCATAATTTCCATCTTCATCACCTTAATCTGAACTGTTAACATTTATACCCCTAACGCCCGAATTAAACAATTATCTCTGCCACACCCTTAACAGCTATTTTGGGTAACACGATTCGATAAGGAGAAATACAATGCTGCGTACGAGGTAATACCCAATGTTTCAAGAGATCCTAATTGTGTCTCAATTCAATCGTAAAGTTTTAATAATTCCGTTTGCTGTTGCCCTAACGCATTGTTCAAAACTAGTTTTAGTAACTCGCGTACATAAACCTCAGTTTGTAAATCCTCGCGTCCAATTTGAGATGTCATACAGTGTATGATTTATTATAATTTTCCTATAACGACGGAACACTTTCTACGATTTGCCGTGCTGTGCTACCAGGGACAGTTGCCCACAGTAAATAGTGTATCTTGTCACAGCTCTCAATATCTTTATCTTCATGAATTTTACGAAAAATGGCGACCAAAACCCCAACCAATCGCGTTTAAATTTAATTTTTGGCAAGTTAAATTTTCGATTACCGTTGAATGGGTCATTTTCACCTGTATTACTAGTCGACACATTTTTCTACTCGACGAATCTCTTCGTATAGACGTCCTCATAATCTGTTTCAGCGATCAACTGCTTCTTGGTGGTGTCGTCTTTAATCATAAAACCGCACACGTCGCTGTCAAATTAACGTAAATCATCATATTTCAACACGTCCATGAAATCTCGATCTCTCCATACACAATAAGGTCTTCCTTTAACAACAGGTCTCGTTTGATACCTTATAGTGAAATTACACCTAAGTACTTTCCTATTTTTTCTTAATAGATCAGCTATTTTTACGGCTTGTACCAACTCGTACGCAGTCCTGTAACGGTCGCCACAAAATCTTTTGCCAAACTGTAAACACTGCTCGTTAATTCAGTTGGGCGGTTCGAAATATTTACTACGACTCGAAATTAACCGAAAACACGTAAAAAGACCGCTTTATTTTTTACTGACAGATTTTCCAAAATACTTTCTATTTCACTGCCTTCTTTTCTATATGTTATCAATTTTATAATAAAATTACAACAGCTATTCTTCAACGGTTTAGCTAAAGCCGTAGAGAATAGTATTCTGAGTCTGCATATTGCACGAACAGCATACTCATACGTCGTTTTTTCAATTAAAACCATAATAACTTTGTTATTTCAATTTACGGGATAAACATATGTCCCATTTTGAGTTTAATATTTATAATTACAGTTTCCTGTTCGACAACCCGGAAGCTGAAGGGGATCAGTGCTGCCAACACCGTATATACAGTATGATCGAATAATATTGTTCATTTTATTTTAATTAATCATTTTGTAAAATAAACCCAAGTTTCTTACTCAGTGCTGGATTTTATAGTAAACCATGTCACCGACTAGCACCTAACAAGAGCACGGCCGAGGCTTACAAGAAAGTAAAACCAAATTCATTTTTTGGTGTTGATAAATAAATCAGTATTTCATTGATTAGTTTCTTTGTTACTTTCTTGGTATCTTCCCAGTTGTATACCAGGAAAGTTAAGCATCTAAAAAAAACTAGGTGGTGCTCAACCTCATGGTAAGTTACGAAGATATTTATGCTCTACAAACTAACCGCCTTAAACCATCTCATGCCTTTTTACTTTCACATCCCTAAGCTTGCTGGCCGCCTATGCGGCGTGTTTTGAGAAAAAGCAATGCCATCTTAACTCACGTCACACAGTTGCGGATATAAACGCAAAAAGTTTAAATAGCTGATAAAATTCGCTCCGCGTCTCAAGGGCTTCTGTATTTTCATGAACTTTAACGCCGTCCGTAGTACTTTTGAACTTATCTGTTAATATCTGTGATCTAGGGAAAGCTGTGTCCGCATACTGCACGGATTTGGATCAAATTAACCTGGATATCAAAATAAAGTTTACCAATTTCCCGTAACCAATACGAGCGCTGATCTGGGGAACTGTCAAGTAAAGGAATTTCTGTGGATTTTTTGAAATTAATAAATCGTAACATAAATACTGTAGTGAGGGGATTTTAAGTTGCAGTTTTATTTGACGTAGCACGGATGCAAGGTAAATTAAAGACAATAAAACCGACCGCAACGACCTCCGGCTCTCCACTCTTTTGAATTAGATTTTATTGGCTTTGTATGTTATTTTGTATTTCCCCATAAACGGTGAAACCGGTGGTGAGCTTATGCTCACTTTTTTAGTTGACTGAACTCTTAGTTTCCAGTCGACTACGAAGGAATGCATAAATGGCAGTACTCGGCATCGATTGGCCACGGAAACACACACTGGTTCAATGGACCCACTGACAGAATGTTAATAATGTCTTTATTATAATAGGCGTAGTTCCTCCTAGGTGTGTTTCCTACAGAACCCAAAATTTAAGGCACATTTGGCCTTACTGTCAGCAGCAGTAAACATTTTAAAACCAACCTAGATCAGTATCACCTCCTTTGAAACACTTCAATGGATATTAATGAAGTGATAAAATTACAATAGGACTCAAATATAAGAGGAGCATCAAAAGAACGATTTAATTAATCCTTTCAGCTAAGTTAATATAATTTACTAGCAGCTGCAATTCCGACCTTTAATTTACTAAGTCCATCTCTGGTCAACGCTCCCATCTGTTGCATTTATTTATATCAGACCACACACAGATTTATTACATACGATTATAGCTACTTGCAAATTAATACACATATTGAATTCAGTTAATGAAAGGTATTACCTTGAATTGAAGTTAAACAGTTCCAATAATATTGCATTAATTGAGTGCTCTTGACTCGCGCATTTTTAATATCTTTGAATTTTGTTTAATTACTCTAAATTGCATATTTCTACTCTACAATGGGATCTTATTGACTGACCTCACGAGCGCTTTCTTTACAAGTTAAATGTCCATTTCGGTTTTTATT